AGTTTTTCGTGGCAAACTATTTACATATCCAACCCTATTAAAGTATCTTGAAATAGTACTATAGGATACTTCAACTCTATTTTTAGCAAGTTTCGTGGCTATATTTCTTGTCGAAAGGTAAGGGTTTCTACAAATATACTGACCTATAGCTCGTGCGACAGATTTCATTATTTTTGTTGTTCGTCCATTACCACCAGTGTGAGTTATGCCCCCAGTTTTTTTGATTTTTTTAATATTATTATAAATAGTTCTGAGGGAGATATTTGTTTTCGTAAAGATTTCTTTTGCGGTATGTACACCCTTATTCCATAATAATAATATAACTTCACTTTGATCTTTTTTAGAGAACGGCGACATTTTTGACTGACAACTACAATCAAAAGTTATAGTAAGAAAAATGTATGAAAGTTACATGAGGTAGCCATATGTCTCACATCTGACCTGTATAAACAAAACAGAAATTTGGCTTGAATTGGTTAGGCTAGGTCGATCGAAAGAATAAAAAAAATTTTGACATTTTTTTTGTAACACCCTGTATATTTATTTTTTCTTTTGAAACCAATGCTAACTTTGCCTTAGCAGATTAGTCCTTCTATAGTTTAGAGTAGCAACAAGTCGTCTGGTTGATTTCTTAGATTAACTAATCAGTCTTAAAAAGTTTAGTAGCATGTATAATATTTTTTGTAATCCCTATAATGTATAATTGTATATTACTTTATCAAGCTAATAAACAAGGTTGAGTCAGCTTTTAATTTATTTTTTATTACAGTCAACTTTTTTAAATATTTTTTTATCAAAAACAAGTCAATTCTGTTAAAAAAATTAATAATAACAAAAATTGAGAGCTGTAATTCATGTTTTTAAGAAGGTTTAATATTTTTTTAATGATATACTAAACCCTTAGATATAGAAAAAACTAAATTAAATAGGGCTTGGATTTTTTTTAAAATATTTGATTAGACAAAATTTTGAAAATTGCTTTTTTTATTTATTCGGATTAAATATTTCTTTCATTATAAATTTTTATAGGGCGAAAAAGAATAAGTTTATTGGATAATTAAAAAAAATTATTTAGAATTAAGAATAGATAAGTCTTTTAAGATAGTAATAAGAAAGAAGAATATCCTTTTAATAAAATTATAAACGGATGAAAATTTTATAGAAAGGATTTGCTCCTTTGTTTTTTGCACCATTTATTTCAAAAAGTCGAATTACTCCGAATTCGTCATTCAAAACGCCGTTCAATAAAAAAGTATAATGTTGATTTTATGATCTTTAAAAGGTTTAACCTTTCGAATTCTCAATGGTTTTTTTTTTTTTTTACTTATTATTTTAGCACACACTACAAAATCTGATTTCAGTACAAGAAAATTTTACCCGAGAACGACCAAAATATTTATCTCTATAAAAATCACGTGTTCTCATTCAATTGATTTTTGTTAATTCTGAACCGAAAAGATGTCATTCATGCTCGGTAGAATGTTACACATAGTGGAAGATTTTTGTAGACTTCGTTGGTTCATTCACATAAACTCTTAAATGATCTTATAGATGAATAATGAGTACGTATGTGTTGAGGCCAATGCTCGTGTGACTATCAAAAAAAGTATTTAAATGAGTTCGTCTCCCGGGAAAATGAAACCCCCAAACGAAACAAGAGTAATGGCAATGACTATAAAATATCAAGGAACGATATTTATTGAGTTTTTTTTTTTTTTCAGTGTGTTATATTATTACTTTTAAAAAAGGGTGGCGGTTATTATGAAATTAAATACGTATTAGGGATTCGCATGTTGGATTTTGATAGCTACCTAATAAATTTTATTTGTTAAAATAGAACGATAATGGTTTTGCTCAAAAAAAGATTATGTCTAACCGTTATTAGTGGTTTCTTCTTTTATGTCGATGAAGATTACTATTTGTCGAGTAGGCCTTTTTGCATCCGCTATGCGGACATGGATACCCTTTTTTGAAAATGTTTATCAATTCGAAAACAACAGCAATAATTATTACTTAGCAAGTAATAAGCTTACGTTTTTGTTCAGGCTTATTCTTCATGTAAGACTCATCGTCAATATAATTTACCTCGTCTTCGGGGATTTCTTGTTGACTCGACACCTGAATATCAAGAGAGTTTGCATAAACTATGTAACCCATGAAGGTATGTATATTTTCGTTATCAACGTGATATATTCCGTAGATATAACGATCGAGACATTCGATTTCATGAGGCATCAATGTTAAGGCTAACGACTCGAAGTATCTTTTTTCAATAAAACCCATAGGATAGAATTCAAATTCACCCTTTCTGTCGAAACGGCAAACTTTATAGCAAACTTGAACTATGTTGTGATCCATTGAACCCGGCATATACCAGAATTAGCAGAGAAATTACACTCGGAAGGCTTATTATATAAAGGCTCGTCGTTACTCGGCATATGTGCAAAGGATCCGAAGGATCAGCGTAATGTGAATCCAAGTTGAGTCCAATAAGGTCTTTGATATAATTGAAGCGTGAACATGCTGTAAATCATGATTAATTGTAAATCATCGGAACAATGTTCAAACTCCAATTCTTGTCTTACAATAATATAAATAGTTACTAATAAGAATTAGAATTCTAATATCACAGTATAGCCATCATAATATAAATAATTCTTTTTACAAGTTTAATTAATAGATAAATTTAATTTATTATTTATTACAAAGAAGTAAACAAAATTTTTGGCAAGAATTAAAGCAACAAAATTTTGTCAAGATAATATGAATTATTATAAAATTCAAAAGAATATATGTGAAAAGTTTAAATAATAACGAATATAAGTATTTTAGGTCAATTTTATAAAATTAATTTATTATATAAGATTTTAAATATAATAGTGGATTTTAATAATTTAATACAAACTTAATCTAACAAACTTTTTTTATCAAGCACATAGAAATATATATGTAGTCCTTCACTATGCTCCGGACTAACCACATGAAACAAAAAAATTTGTTATTTGTTCTTTAATTATCTCTAATATTTTTATTAAACATAATTAAGATTATGTTTAAATTTAATGACCAATCGATATTCTTGTAACATGAATTTAGGTAGTACAAATTGGATCAATGTAAAATCCTTAGATGTGACACGAATCCTTTACCATAAAAGGATTTGCGTTAAAATCATTTTCGAAGCCATATTATTGTTGTTGTCGTGGATTTGAATTTGTGGCAGCTATGATCAATAGAATCACTCGAATCCTTAAATCCTTGAACAACTATCCATCTGGGAAGTACGAAAACTTTAATTTTTACAGTAGAAGTACGTGTTATATAAACACTCTAAGTCTAGAAGATTCAACGCATCTCACGTTCTTGAAGCATGAGAAATTCGATTAACTTTTATTCTTCTGTAATTAACGTTCCTCTCCAAATTCCTGTAATTATGAATAACCAAAGAACGAACTTTGTTAATGCTTATTGGAATGGAGACTTTGAAAGTATGCCTACCGATAATCAACATAATATGTTATCCTCAATCGAAAACAATCAACATATTTCAATGAATGATGAAAACATATCCATATCATTAGAAGCGCGTTCTATTGAAAACAACAATAATAACTTTGTGAACCCGGTAAGCTATGTGAACAACTATAGCTTATCTACGGCTTTTCATATCGGAAATTATGGAAATTATCAACATGCATTTACCGACCAACAGATCGCGATGCCCTCCGCCGAAGACATTTTGATGATAAGTCACACGAATAACTTAAATGACTTGTTCACTTCATTCTCTATCGGGGATATTCCACTAAACCAAGAGAATAATTTGAATGCCGTCGATAATGTTCACACCACTTCTTGCGCCAAAAAATCCAAGAGACGTAACCGCCCTACAATACACGAATGTCATTTCTGCCATAAAGAATTTGTTTATTTATACCTTTTAAAAACTCACATAAAAGCAAAACATGAAGAAAATCGTAAGTTTATATTTCGTCATTCAAAGGTTTTCATAGGAAGCTGATATAATAAATATCTTGCGAAAAATGTCCTTTTTTTTCCAGCATTTAGATGTCAATGCGGCAAACAATTTTCGAGCAAAAGCAATCTTAATCGACACAAGAAAATACATTTGTCTAACCCAACGTATTGCTGATCTCTTTAAGCGGATTTTCCGTATTTCTATTAGAAATGCTGTCTGGAATCATAAAATAGTTGAGGTCGAAGCATCGCTTTTTCTGATTTTCTTGTGCTAATTTATTTATTGAGAAATTTGGGTATTTTCGACGTTGGTGTTGGGTTTTGTATTTTTATTCGATGACAACTCAAAAAATGCGGGTTTAAATAAATAATTTCTAGGAACTTCAATCACTAAGACGGAAATTTTCAATTTGTATTCATTGTTCTGTAAACATATGTGTTTGTAAAGACTTTACCGCCAGAATCTCGGGGTTATTGCACCTAAACCTTCCATTCAAACTAAAGTCACAAAAAAGGATGTATACAAGACAAAGGAAATTAGAAACATTAAGGATTGTTGATCTGCAAATCGTTTAAGTCGTATACAATTTGGGCTCCATTTTTTTTTTTACGAACGTACTATTAAATTGGTTTCTAGCTTTTTACGTTAATGTCTTTATACTTCTGTTACTATTAAAAATTTATATCAAAAAAGAAAGAAAGAAAAGAAAAGAAAAAGTAAACAAGTTGGTCTTATGTAATTCATTCAATAAATTCTGTATAGGTGTTAAAAGCTATCAATGAACTCTAAAATTATGATTGGATGGAAAATAATAAGTGCGTAAATTGGTTTGTATGTAAATACGTACAACACACGTACATTAAATAAACTATACGTAAATAGAAACAAAAACCTCTAAATATTTAAAGAATGCGTCAGACTTTCATACGTGCCGTACTCATTTATTTGAGAATGTATCTCGATAAGAATAATAAAAAACCAAGCAATGCATTATTCATACACGTATAAAATCCAAATCACAAATTTTGCATATGTCACAATAATATTAATAGAATCCTCAGACCCTTAGACCCTCGGACCCTCTGATCCTCGAATCCTCAAATCCTCAAATCCTCAATGGGGATGATTCAGTTACAGTATGTCTCACGAAAATAATCCTAGTTAGGTCGTATCATATTTTTATATTTGATTAATGTAA